TTTCAAGGTATGTTCCATGATCACCATCTCTATGCGCAACCATACCTTATAACCATAAGTGATCTAGGGATTTTATCTTAAGTGCAATTATAAGATAAATGCTTTCTCTTAAGATAAAGAAATGCCTTATTCATAATATAATTCCAATAGACTGTATTTACAAGTAGAATACGTCCAATTAGATTGGAACGCCGGGTACCCTACTCTAACATACGCGACATCCTTGCATTCCCTGAAATATGTCATGATGACTTGCGGGCCCAACTACCACAATCGCCCCATAAAGACGCTTTATGTATGGCACTAATCATGAACAGGCCTCAAAATGTGTGTAGAAAAAGGTTACTATATATACGTCGAAACTCCCTCTGAGAGAAGGGGAGAACACTCTGTTACAACTTCTATGCGGTTACACAAACACCGACTCCGTATTTATCAATAAAAATCATCAGTTATTACAATCTTGTGTTTGAATCCATTTAATATGTTTATTACGTTGTTATAAATCATATGACAACATACGTGTCTATTATTATTTTACGGGCTAAGAGCACGTAGTAATTACTGAGGTATAGTTTATTTACTTGGCCAGTATAAAATAAACTTATCCTTTGTAGGATCCGTTCAATACTCTCATAGTGTACTAGTCCAATTCATCAGTCAAGACTAACCTATCCTAATTACACTACAACAAATCGTGATGGGTTGTTCGTTGCCATCTATGTTATGAATATTTATTTATGTTCTTATGCTCATTCATGATGAACCATAATTATCTATATATAAAACATTAGAACATAGAAGTTGTTAATTATGTATGATTTTCATTTAAGCGGAAATAGTGTTTATAACGCAAAAGTTCAAGCTTTCAGTATATACAGTAATAGATGGAACATGAGGGATCTCTCCCTGGGCCAGTTTGAAATCAGGACATTCGTCCCCGACACCACCGCCCCAGTTGCTGCTTCTTGTGTCGTGGGCCTCAGACGTCTGCTCTCGGTGGCCTTCCTCTTGAGGCTGACAAGTATCTCCAGTCGTCCCATTTGTTCAATTATTTCACCAAAAGAATCAAAACCTAGACAATTCGAAGAAATTCTCTCTGAAAATGCAAATTATGCACCCTGAAGGAAGGAATTAAGTAAGAAAAAAGAAGGAGACTTGTTTGTCGATAAGACATGTCAATAGAAAAGGCGAAGATTTCTCTTTTCTAGTATATGTATCCTTATTGGTGCATGCATACATTGCCATTAATGCGTTGTGGAGACATTTAAAAAAAGAGGCGACACTTCACATGCCAAACGGTCCATAATCAGACACGCGACAAATAGGCACTGGAGGAACACATCTTTTTCATAAAACTTCCCTCATCATTATGAAAAACAGTTACGCCCGTTCTCAATAAATCGAAAATGCGCACTTATTATCCCTTTAAATAAGGAGCTTTTATTCCGCCAATTATGGGTGGACCATTTAAATACCCAACTCTGAAAAATTTGGGCTCCTGACATCGGCATCGACTTCCCAATCAAAGTTCAACACCAGATTGATGAGAAGAGTTCAAATAACTTCCCACGACTAGCTGAAGTACATTTTCTAATCCCAAGAACCTAGGGCCCTTATGTTATAACTAAAATATGTTGATCTGCATTAGCCCATCAGTCAGCAATGACGTTGACAAAGGATTTACATCGGCGATACCCCGAAGCCCCAGTGTGCAACACCAACATAAGCACTTAAGAGTACATCAGCTCAATATGTCCAAAGAACGTAAACGCCAACTTGTATGTCAATCTCACCTGTATGGCGATTTTACTACATGCCAAGACACATCAGACCAACGTCACCATGGCATAGAAGGGTAATCTCCTCACATTGGCCACAAGTAAACAAAGCTTCCTTCATGCCGATATCCCCTAACTTAGTGTGAAAATTGTTGTTGCCCAATACCGGTTTGCACCACCTAAAATGGTAAGTCACTTAAGCGATTTGCCGTGACACATGTCGCCCTGCATGTAGCTGACTCCTGAAAGTTCGTCACGTGGTTCGAAGATAATATATTTTATTACTCCTCTACTTCTATGTATAGCAATGCCCCGAAGCTTGGCAGCGACATCCCAGAAGGAGTTGAAACATAGATAGAATTTTACACTAGAAATATCGCAAATACTACAGCTTAATAGCCTTCTAACTGGCCCTTGTAATAAAGAGATTCCTCAATAAATTGGTGCAAGCATATCAATGCAAACACTTAGGAGGGTGTATTCCTTTAAGAATTCTAAAGACTTTTAAAGACTTCTTAGGAATTATGAAATCTTGGTGTATTTAAATCAGACTTTTTAGGATTTTAAAAAATCTTGAGGTATTCAATTAGGATTTTCAATGACTTTTTAAAAGTCTTTTAAAATCCATAGGTATTCAATCTGGACTTTTTAAAATCCCATAAAATCAAGAGATATTCATTTCCTTTTCAATTCTATTGGATTTGTCATTTATTTGGATTAGAGAGATTTGAGTGAGAAAGTATATATACCAAATCCCACTACAAATCCCACCAGTTTATGAGAGATTTTGAGATTTTGCAAGAAAAGGGTTTACGAGGAGACGACTTCTCTTACGAAGGGGACGACTCATACTCTGCTCCTCAAAGGTACCAACATCTATTTTTGTGATTAGCATATACGTTTACAATTGTGTTTTTGTATAACAATTTTGATTCTGTTTCCCGTATATGTATGAAATTATTTCATGGTGTATAACAATTCTTGTGATTATTATATATGTTTAATGGTGTTTCTGTTTGAATTATGTTCCTTTACCATGGTGATTTTTCCTTTTCCCAAGTTGATTAGGATTGGGAGAAGGTGCACTGTTTATTCTTGATTGGATAATTTTATTGTCTATGCAATTGTGCTATTTTTATTCTTGTTCTGCGTTTGAAAAACCAGAAAGGATGGCAAATTGTAGTTTAAGAAAAGAAAAAGTAATAAATAAAACAGAAAAAAATCTTTATTTATAGCTCAAGATTGGGATAATTTTATTTGTTGTGCAATTTATGTGAAAGTTTCTGTCTTGGGTTTGATTTTGAACAGAAAGGTATGGCAAATTGTGGTTGGAAAAAAAAAGAAATAGGATAGAAAACACATAGTAATAAGTGTACTTGATGTTGATCATAATCAATTGTTTTATGCCTCTTTTGTACTATTCTATGATACGATGTTTAGTAAGGTTTATTGCATTGAGTTTAGTTATATTTAGCATGTGCTAGCTGAATTACTTCTTAAAATTGATAATTTTTATGTTTTGTATTAAATTTGCTTGTACTGCTTAAAACCAATCTGTTGTGCTTTTACCACAGAATTCATAATTTGTTTGGTTTGGAATCCTGATGGTAAAAGTGGTCACTTCTTATTTTTTTTTATAAAAGTAGTAACAGAATTCACATTCTTTTATTTGTAAAAGTGGTCACTTTTTTCTTATATGAATACTCTTGAAATTTTTAAAAGTAGTTTGTAAAAGTAATCTTATGTGGTGTATAAAATAATAGTCTCATTCTATTGTTGGGGATTAAGTCCTTAAGGCCAAAGTTGGTGCTACCACAAGTGTTTTTTATTTTGTTTTTGTTTTTTTTTTTTCTCATTTGTATTTTTATTAAACAATATATAATAGGCAATGGGAGATCCAATGAAAGAAAATGATCAAGGTTCAGAATATCAAAGTTAGACTATTGAAGAGAGCAATGAACTTCTTAAACTTATAGTTGATGTTAGTAATCGTGGTTGGCGTGATCACGCTGGAAAAATAAATAAGATAACAGTCGAAAGACATATGCTAAAACCTTTGAATGAAAAGTTAGGGATCACTCGGACTTATAATCAATATACAAGTCGAGTGAAATATTTTAGGAAACAATATGCCAAGTACAATGAGCTTATGCGGCATAACTCTGGCTTTAGATGGAATTCTGAAACAAAGTTTTTCACTGCGAATGATGAAATCTGGGAAGATTACTTTAAGGTTAGCCCCCCTTTTTTGTTTGTTTTTGTATAAATAATATATAAATCATATCTTAACAATTTAAATAAGAAGTTTGGTACAATTTACAATTATTATTTTTGTTATTTGTTTTACCAGTCTCATCGTAACGATTCAAGCTTACGGACAGACCCTCATCCAGACTATGAAGATCTGAGAATTGTAGTTGGTAACGGTACAACTAAAGGGACATATTCTATTGCCATAGGAGACGATACTGTAGAAGAAAATAGAGAAAGTGGGAGCTTTCTAGATGATTTCACATATGATCCCTCAAGTGATGCATTTATTCCATCAAGTACCCAAGATCCTTTTCCACCATCTCCCGAGAACTCTTTCATGCCAACCTCAACTCAACAAACAATACTCGAAGCCTCGTCCACCTCCAAGAAAACGAGCTAAAACTGATTCTCAAACCTCATTTGATCCTAAAGATACCCAAGACCTTGTAGAAAAGCTTACATCAAATGTGGAGAAGTTTACTCGTGCTATTGAATCAATTGTCACAAAAGAGTACAACTGTTGGGATTTGATTAAAGAGATTCCAGGCTTAACTTTTAAGGATCGTTTCAAAGCTCTTTGATTTGCTTAATACCAAAGCAAAAAAGTCAGAGTTTTTTAACATGTCCTCGGATGAACGAGCTGAGTGGATAGCATATAAGTTGAAATGATTTATATATAATAAGAGTATTATGAACTTCTAGGTCTATGTCCATTGTTTTGAGTAGGCTGGACTTGGTTTTTATTTTCATGGATATTATGTTATTCGAGTACTATGAACTATATGAATTTTCTGGCTTGTTTGATGTTGGAATTATTTATCTTTAATTTGTGTATTATTTGAATTTTATTAGTTTATGTCGTTTCATCTCTTATTAATTATCACATGTCACATAATGTCTGATACTGATATGCGCGAAGATGATTTAATGGACATAGATGAAATTGAAGAAGATGACAGGAGAGAAGAGTTATATAAATACATTCGGTATTCATACTTGCTCATTCAAGCAGCTTTTTACATGGCAAATGTGCTTATCGTTAATATGTGCCATGATCGTGTCAATTACTCATTAAGCAGAAGGCCGAAAACCGTGGATGGTTATGATTATATACATAAAATACTTGGGGAAGATTCTAACGACTTCCGAGAGGTCTATAGAATGTACCCAGATGTATTCTTGAAATTATGTCGTATCATTAGAAAGAAACAACTCTTGAGCGACACAAGGTTTGTTTCTGTTGAGGAAATGCTTGCGACATTCTTATTTATTGTTGGAAAAAATAATCGATACTGTCAAGTACGACAAGTATTTGGTCGATCACATTTCACCACCAGCCAGAATTTCAACAAGGTGTTGAAAGCACTAACCAAATACGCTGTAGATATGTTGGCTAAGCCAGGATCTGCAATTCCCCAGAAAATAAGAGAAAGTACACGATTTTATCCCTACTTCAAAGTAAGTAATAACATTTTTACTTTAATTTTATAATATCATTATATTGTTTGCTAATGTTGAAAATTTTAAAAATTTTAGGACTGCATTGGGGCTATTGATGGCACACATATTCCAACAATGGTAATAGGACATGATACATGCAGTTATCGGAATCGTCATGGACAAATTTCGCAAAATGTTTTAGCTGCTTGTAACTTTGATCTGGAGTTTATATATGTGCTCAGTGGGTGGGAGGGTTCAACTCATGATTCAAAAATTTTAACGGATGCGTTAACAAGAAGAAACGGACTCAAAATTCATGATGGTATTAATTCATAATTTTCTCTTTCGTTTCATATTTCTTTAATGCACTGGTATTAAATGTCACAAGCATGAGATAATTATGTTTTTATTTGCAGGAAAGTACTTATTGGCCGATTGTGGATATCCAAATAGACGACAGTTTCTTACTCCATATCGAGGGACTCGCTACCATCTTAATGATTTTATAGGTCAAGGTCGTGACCCAAGCAATTCCAAGGAACTATTTAATCTCAGGCATTCTTTGTTAAGGAATGTAGTTGAGAGGATATTTGGTATATTCAAATCAAGGTTTGTGATTTTCAAATCGGCATCTCCATTTCCATTTCATACGCAAGCGGAGCTGGTATTGGCATGTGCAGGGTTACATAACTTTTTACAAAAAGAATGTCGCTCTGATGAATTTCCAGCAGAACTTGAACAAGAAACAGGTCAATCTTGTCCAATTACCGAAGGAGATAATTTTGGTCTATTTTTTGAAAGGCAAGAACAACAAAGAGCGGCTGCTAATGTATGGAGGGATGCAATAGCAAATGAAATGTGGATGATGCTATAAAGTAGAAATTGGACTTGCTTATTATTTTTATTTTATATGAAATTGTATTAGACGCGAAACTTTCGTGTTCATCAAATTTGCATCTTATTGATATTGTTACTTTATATTTTCCAATATTTTAATTTTTCACACAAAATTTTATAGAATCTCTTTAAAGATAAGGTTAGACATTATTATCATAATATCACCAAAGTTTCAAACATAATTGTTATTAATGTTGTCAGTCAAAAATATAATTATTTCTTGAGATTATGTGGTTGATTTGATAGAATAAAATTATAAGCGAGAAAAAATATTGTATGTCTTGAGAATGTGGTTTATTGAATAGAATAAAAAATTATAACAAATTGGACTATTATTATACAAAAAGATAAATAAACAAACAATAAAATAGAAAATTCACATTTCTCCTTGTTCAAATTGATTTTTATTTTCTTTCATGTATAATTTTTCTCACAAGTTCTCACAATGGTATATTTATATATTTAATGTTGATGTTTATTCAATCAATAATAAAAGTCCACAAAATTCTTGAAAAGTCTTAAGAAATCTATGGAAGTCCACATGTCACTTTTGGGGATTTCTAATAAATCCTACAAAATTCATAAGAATTGATAAAATCCCATAAAATCCTATTTTTAGTAAAATCCTTAAAAGTCTTTTAGAATCATAAAGGAATACACCTCCTTAATTCGTTGATTGTTTTAATGTCTATTTCTTTCACGCCTTTACTTCCATCTTTACCTATCTTAAAGTCATAATCACAACCCAAATAAAATATATATAGTCAACGACGGACCTACATGCACGGGCCCCCCTATTTTTTTAAGAAATATAGATAAAAATGTAAAAAAAATATAATATTAAACAATTGAAACTTATTTTCTATGTTATTTTAATTTAAATTAATAATATTATTTATTTATTAAAAAATACATTAATAATTTATATTTTACATTTTTAGATAAGTTTTTGAAAATATTTATAATCCTTCGAACTGTTAATTGTAAGTCAATTTAGTAATTTATGAAATCGAGTAACTGGTTAGATTGTTATATTTTTGGATGTAGAGTTTTAACTTTATTTTTTGTGGAATCTCATATTTTAAGATTTTTTTTTTGTTATTTTTTTAGAAAATATTCATTTGATAAGCTCATATCAACAAAGATGTTATACAATATATTGTAAAAGTTCAATTTAAATCAAATTTTCAACCATATAACTTATTGAATGATGTTGAACTGGAAAGTGTTTAATTTAATCTATCGTAATCACCGACTTCAATGCTAAATACGCAATCTGCATTGCTTAGGAAAGTTTTAGTTCCAGATTAAGTTCTGACAGTATAGTATTAAATATTGGATCCTCGTTAGAATAAAACAAAAAAGATGAAGTACCCATTTTGAAGTTTTCGGGGGGGCCAAAAATGTAATTAACTATTCTGCACTGCAAAAGAGGGGAAAAGACAAAATAAGAGAGAAAAGAGAAGAGAAGAAAACAGATTACAGCTTAGACACACTAACACACAAAGGGGGTGGGGTAGGATGAAAACCTTATCCATTCCAAGCATTTATAAAAGCATATCAAAACCCTCTCCAATTTCCTTATATCCTTCCCAACTAATAAACAAACTCTATTCTTCCCAACAAAAAAGCACACACAATCGAGCAAAATAAGAACGCTATTAAACGCCCAAATCGACCTCTGAATCTTATGGCGGCATCCAAAAGCTACTTCGCCAGATCGACCTACAGATTCCTCCCCGGCGACCAGTCTGCCGCTTCCGACGACCAGATGATCTTCGAGCTCGACGAGTCCGACGTCTGGAGCTCGACGACGACCCGCCCTCAGTCGCCGGAGCCGCGCAAGCCGGCCGCTCGGATCTCGAGGAGTCCGGCGGCGGCGAGCGCGAGGCGCGGGGTCGGCGGACCGGCGTCGCTGCCGGTGAACGTCCCCGACTGGTCGAAGATACTGAAGGAGGAATACCAGGAGAACCGACGGTGGGATAGCGAGGAGGAGGACGCGGAGGAGGGCGGCGATCGGCTGCCGCCGCACGAGTTCCTGGCGCGGCAGATGGCGAGGACTCGGATCGCCTCTTACTCGGTGCACGAGGGGATCGGGAGGACCCTCAAAGGGCGAGATCTCAGCAGGGTTAGGAACGCCATCTGGCAGAAAACTGGTTTTCAGGACTGATTTTTCCTCTTTTTTTTTTTTTGTTTTTTTTCTAATTTATCCTTTATTCATTTTAACTTTGGGATTTTGTAATTTTTGTATGTAAAAGAGATTTTATAACTAGGGATGGGGTGGTAAGTCACTGAGTTAGTGACTCGGACGATGTGTTACTAGTGGNGAGTTTGAACTAATTTTATTTGAACTTATTTTATGGTGTAGTTGTTTGTAGTTTTAAATTTTCATGAGGGCTCTCAGAAAATAATGCAAATTAACGAATTTGTCGAGGTTCATTTGACGCGAGGCGGATACTACATGAAGTCCAGAAGAGGTCATTTATATCTTCATAACAAGTTGAATAATGGATAACCTTAAATAGTTTATTAAATTGAAGTTTAACTTCCATTTGTTCTAGAATTGGAAATTTCAACAGGTTCATAGACATTATTGAACGTTTGAATAATGAAGCTGCACTTTGGTGTGACTAGGCTTTCATATCAATTTGTTGTAGAACCTCACAGGATGCTCGAAAATTATATGCTTCACACTTGACGAACATTATATGCTCGACTTTGATTCTTTCGGTCTAATAAATTTGTCGAGCAATCGCTCAAGCTTTAGTTTGATTCTTTAAGCCTAACTTGCCAAATGAATTTACCTTATTTATGTTAATATTGGTTGGAAAATATACTCTTTATTGTTATGTATTATTGATGATGGATCATAAAATTTATACTCTTTATGTATAATCTGAATATTGTGTAGGAGCTTCGTCAAGAATTCAATGCTCGTTTGTAACCTTAGCTCTGACTCATTTACTTACTAAGAAGGCCAGAGTAGACGATAATTCACGAACAACATATGAAGTTGAAATCCGAAAAATCAATATAATCATTTTATTTTGAAATCAATGTGGTTAATAATAGATGAAAAAGGAGTTTGAGAGTAACGGATGAGTTGGACCATTCTTCCATTAAATTCGTATTTATATTAAGTGGATGGAGAAGACTAAATGCATCACATTCAATAATTGAGAATTTAATGGTAGGGAAAATGACAATAAACGAGTTGTAGTGGTGGTGGGGTTGGAATTTTGAGATAGAAGAGGAAAAAAAAAAAAGAGAGAGAAAAAGAAAAGAAAAGAGTGGCCAAGGAAATTAATTTAGGCGTTTGCATGTAAAAGTAAAAAGAAGACCCTTCTTCAATTCATAGCATTTTCACTTTTTCTCCTCTTGCTATGGAAACTTCTTCCAACCTTTGGTTCCCAAACCGTAGACAAGATGGCCTGCCTACTAATTTGCAGCAAGCTTAGGTAGTTTAAGTTAGTTGTTCTCTTATAGGGTTACTATTTTTACAAATTTATGTTTCTTTTTTGGGTATTTTTCTTTTTCTTTATCACTACTTATGGTCAAAATCAAAATAAAATCATGATCGTCTAAGACAATGACAATATCTCCTTATATATTACGGTTACCTTTATCGATGACCCAATAAGTTAGGTCACCAAGTAATGACAAAAGAAAAAAATAATAATTATAAAATAAAATAAAAAGTCATGAAAAAATTGGCGACCCAACTCACAAAGTGATCTTGGATCGCAACTTGATACAAGCTTCGAAATAGAACACTTGTCTCATTTCTATTGGACACGTGTATATTTTTAGATAAGATGATTATAAATAATTTTTGAAAGATAATAATTGGTATTAATTTATATGAAAAAATAAAAAATATCAAAATTCTTATTTTTCAATCTCTATTTATAGAGACCATATTTCATATATTTTATAACACAGTTGCAATTTCTCTGTTTCCACTCTTTCTTTAATCCTACCGTATTAGTTTTATCATCTCTTTCATTTGTTTCTAATTTCCAACAAATATCATACGTTCCATATTATATATTTTTTAATTATATGGTAAAATATTATTTTTCTTAAATCATTACAAATTTAATTATAGATATTTTTAATTATTTTATCACAACTAAAAAAATAATTAAAATTAATTGTAGATAATATATAATAAACAAAACAAATAAAATAAATATTTTTAGGTTGGGGGTTGGGAATAAGGCTTATTTTATCCGTGACCCAACCTTGGGACGTGCGGATAAGACGAAAGAAGAAAAAAGGAAAAAAGGTGAATTTTGAGGTGACCCAGGTCACAATGTGACCTTATCTTGCAACCGGTCATTTGCAAGGGAATGGGACACTTGTCCCATTCCTATTGGACAAGAATTGACGTATATGATTTAATGACCACAATAGCGAACGGTAGGATGAAGTTGGAACGCAAACAAGAAGAAAGAAAGACAATGAAAATGAATATTATGATGTTGAATATGTTGTTGGCAAATTATCACTTATCGCCGAGAGATGAAGAGTTGAAAGTCATGTAACAACAATAGTAATTAGAGACTCATTGTAATTTGTCATCATGTAACTTTACATTATATCATATTAGCTATTCTCATGTAAGCTTTTCTATTACAACAATTCGAGTTATTCAATAAAAGTCTAGTTAGTATATTTTTTTTATCTAATTTTTCAGAAGTCACATGTTGTTTCCATGATTGTCCTACTTACTATAATAGTCACATGCAAAATGAACGATCAAGACTTCTTTTGAACATAGTATATGAGTTGTCACTATTGATAACTATCAAATAGCAACTTTACTTTTTCTTACGAAATTCACATGCATTGTTTTAAAAATGTCTTCGTAAGTCATCTTATTCATTTACTTTATTTGTACTTTAAGTCATCTCAAATCTACACCAAAATCTTAATTTTCGTATCTTAGTACTATATATTCTGATTGGATCCATATCAAATTTATACAAAAAATAATCGCTTAGCCATTTACTTTATATTATAATTATAACTTTATTTTTTGTAAGTCAATTCATTCTTGTTACAAATGTCTTCAAGTGAAAACTCATTCTTGTTACAAATGTCTTCAAGTGAAAACTCGTTTGAAAATTCAAGTTTTCGTTCTGAATCTTCCATTTTCATCGAATTTGATGAATGGAAAGAGCGAATGGTTCAACAAAATCAACGAATTGATCGCATCATGGAAAATTTGATTGTTTGTATTCCCAATATGGTCTTACAACCAACAAATCATGGTCCTAGAGCCAGAAGGCAGAGAGGCAGCGAGAGATAGGAGAGGAGAATGCGTTCCATGACTACTTTTCTGACAATCCAACCTATCCTGAAGATGTGTTTTATTGTAGATTTCACATGTGTAAGCATATTTTTCTTCGTATAGTGAGAGAAATCACCACCAACGATCAATATTTTCAACAAAAGTGTGATGTCACTGGTGGGGTTGGTATTTCACTATTGCAGAAACGTACTGCAACCATAAGGGTGTTGGCCTATAGAATCAGCGAATGCTACTAAGGAATACTTGTGAATAAGTGGAGATGGAACTAGAAAATCTCCCATTAAATTCATAGAATACGTCATTTCTAACTTCGGCGGTCAATACCTCAGAAGGCATAATGAACAAGATTTGGCAAGAATACATCATGCGAGGGAGCAACGTGGATTCCCAGGAATGATGGGCAGTATTGACTGCATGCGTTGGGGATGAAAAAAATTGTCCTACAACATGGGCTGGGCAATATGCAGGCAGAAGTGGAAAACCAACAATTATTTTGGAAGTTGTTGCATCATATAGCGTATGAATATGGCATGCATTTTTTTGACCACTAGGTTCTTGCAACGATATCAATGTACTTCTCCAATCTTTTGTTTTTGATGATATTGTTGAAGGTTGTGCACAAGGAATCATCTTCGTCGTGAATGGTCAGTAAAGTAATATGGGATATTACCTCACTGATGGTATATATCCTTCATGTACTGCAATTGTTAAATCAATTACTTCTCTGAAACTTTGAAAGCACAAGTTGTGGCTCAACACCAGGAGGCGACTAGAAAAGGTGTTGAGCGCGCATTTAGTGTTATTGTTTTTTATGGAAGGAATTGTGATGGCTTGTATCATCATGGACAATATAATAGTAGAAGATGAACGAAACCCAAAACTCGAGAAAACTAACATATACAAAACTATATATGGTATGCAAGTTCATAAAAAATCGAGAGTTTCCAGATATTTTTGATTTTCTCCTTCAGCATTGGAAACAAAATCCCCATGCCTTGTAGGTCACCATGCAAGAATATCTTACCCAAATCTTTCAGATTTAATCATGACTCTCTCTCTCTCTTCAATCTAGTGAACTTTCTTTCCTTGTTTCCATGCCAACTTTTGGAAATATCTTCTTGCCCAATTTATTTCATTTCTTACTCGATTTCATTCTCTCTTCCTTACTATTTATAGCTCTCAAATCTCACATGAGTATCTTCCTTTTGTCATCATTGCTCTTCCATCGCCTACAAGTAAAAGAAGGCAATTAAATACATAACATAAAATATAGTAAGAGAATATCAAAACTAAGGAAAGAGAATATTTATGAAATCTCCTAATGAATCTAATATCTTTCCTTTACCTACAAGTTAAAAGAAGATAATTAATTCTAAATACGCAATAAGAAAATAACTAAGATATGGAAAGTTAAGATGAGAAGATCTTCATTTTCTATTCAAGCACTCATTCCATGTTACCTATTTCAAAAAACACAAATACGATAAATAAATATTATTTGCGATTAATGCTAAAATCAGTTTTCTTACATGTTTCTCACTTGTAAGCTAAATATTAACTAATTGTATTGGTTTTTTTTCATTGCGTATTTAAATTTTAAACTTTGGGTGAAAATCTAGATATTTGAGTACCTAAAATTCTAACAGTGACTATTATGTTAGGCTACCCAATAGTTAGATATATAGTAACTCTTTAATATTTATATACTTTTATACTCAAATATCATACTTTAAAATATAAATAAATAAAAATATAAATTTTTGTAGGATAAATATAAATTTTTCACAAATTATTTTGGTTGTCAAATGCCACGGTAACATTTTAT